GTACAGGAATGGGTGACCTTCTGAAAAGTTTCCCAGAAATTGCACAAATAAGGATAAAATACGCTAAACAATGAAATATCGTGAAATGGAACTCTTAAGAAGCCAAATATGAGGGTTGTTACATTAATAAATTTATTAAAATTAAAAAAATTATAATTTTCACGAAAAATTCCTTCATGGTAATTTCCCACGGATATATCTGTGGGTAATTACCCACGGATAAATTCGTGGGAAAATCCGTCGGAAAGTTACCCACGAATAAAAATCCGTTGGTAAATATTTCAGACGAGCAATTTATCGACGGATTAGTGTCCGTCGGTAATCCATCAGAAATGCACTATTACTCACGAATTTTTGACATTTTCCATGGATTCTGGCCGTCTGTAATAACGAATTTTCTTGTAGTGGATAATATTAAAATTCATCTTGATAATAATAATTCATATGAAAAATTGATGAATAAGTTATTTAGTCAATTGGAGTGCTAAAACAATTATAAAAAGTTAATGGTGAAATAAAAAAATTAAATTTCAATAAAACTAACTCTTTTTACACACTTCATAACTTATAACAATTATGGAAAGTGTTAACAACACATTTTTTATGCACATTTTCTTCATTGATTAAAATTTCTTCATTTTTTATGTCAAACTAAATTCATTTGATAAATGAGTCAAGTTAAAATTTATTCAAAGTTTATTTTTATACCAAAAAAAAAGTCTATCATTTAAAAATTAAATTTTATGCTATTTAAAAAATCTTTTAAATTTGACAATTGACCTGTTTACATTATAATGTTTTAAGATTATACTTGTTGATTAATTTAAAACTTACACTCCTTGATCTGTATAGAAGTTTATTAAGTGTTATAAGCACATTCTCAAACACACTTTTTTTAACATGTTATTTTTTATTAGGTAAAAATTATGAATCTCTTGAAATATGTAAGTTTTCCCATCAAATTGACTAGTAAAATTCATGTGAATTTTAACTATTATAATAAAAAAAAATGTTGGATAAACGATATAAAAAAATATGTTGTTAACATCCCATTATAAGCTTAGGTTAATTAGTATATTTAATGATAAATGGACCTTAAAGTTATAATAGACTTTTTTTTGAAAGGTAAAGTTATAATAGACTAAATTCAAAATTTAAACGATTTAGTATAATCTCTAATGATATGAAATGTTTTCCAATAGAATATAATACATTCAATTGTGATATTAAAAGACATATTCAATTACAAAATATGAAATACAAAGTTCATAATGCCAACAAGTATTAACTACAAGACAACAAATACGATGCCACGAAATACGTTCTATTTACACAGTATGAAAGTACAAGTCAGAGAGATACTGTAGGCCCATAAACAAAGGCCCAATAGTACAACAAAGAGACAAAAATAGAACCACCCAAAGAGATCCAAACATAGCAAATGTCTAGGAATCACAAAAAAAGAACATTTTATTTGTGCATTAAACTACGAGTTGCCCCATGCTTAAGTGGGCTCTATTAGCCCAGCCCTATTTGTTCTGTACGTCAATGTTTTTTTGACAAATAAATATATTGCACATCAGCTAGAATTTTATCGAGTATTTTGACATAATATTGTAAAGATATACAATAAAGACTACAAATTGTTGTCAAAATACACAATGGAAGTTAATTTACTTTATGTATCTTAACAAACTATTGTCAAGATGTATAATAAAAACTAGTTTTTGTTGTATATGAGATACTCAACAACAACTAGTTTTGGAGAAAAGTATTTTTATTTTTACAACAAAATAATTAAAAACAATTGGCATGCAGTAGGAAGAGTAAAAAGGACGGTGGGGAAATCAACTCAAACCCTAATCAACTTAATGAATATATATACATGTATTAACTATCAAATTAGTTTAATGGCCCGACTCATTTTACAAGTTATAATAAAACATTTTTTTAAAATAAATAATAATAATATTTTTATCTGAATTTTTTTATATCATCATTTAACCGTAAAACCGCTTTATAAGTAAAAATATTTTTATAATAAAGTTATTTTAAAAGTTATACCTATTACCTAATTCTATATTATAAATTAAAATACAAAATTTAGATAGTGAGACTCTTGCATTTCTCACACTCGCAATTAACATTTTTTAATCACATACGAGCTTAATTGTAATTATACTATAAACATCAGAGATTACCTGCACAAGCACTATGATGTTATTCGTCGTGTTCAGCAAATACTTGCTCGGGATTGGGTAGTTTACGTAAGTCATATTCCTCGATATATAAATTCAGTAGCTCATACGCTTGCTACTTGGGGTGTAGGGAACTTAGGTTCCAATGTATTTTGGAGGAGTCCTCCAGACTTTATTTTACTTCCTTTAGGGAGAGACTCTATGTCTTGAGTTGTTTGCTTTGTTTATCTTTCATATTTTACAAAAAAAAAAAATACTATAAACATATTTATTGTCGTTGATGAATTTATTAGTTACATACCCTGTTCAACAATTTAAATTGTTTGATTAAATTATGATATTTTCTATTTTTCAATTATATTTAGCTATAAAATTTGAAACAAATTTTAATACATTAGTTACATGAATTTTCTTTTTTATTAAGTTAACGAGTCAACTCAATCTAACCCATAATTTATCTTATATAAGTTAAATTTGGTTGAGATTTTTAATTTAATTAAAAGAAAAACATAAACAACTAAACCCAACCCTAAGTTAAATTTGGTTGAGATTTTTAATTTAATTAAAAGAAAAACATAAACAACTAAACCCAACCAGTCCTACCACAAGATGATGTTCCATTAAATGTGGATGACAGCATGTAAGGAGACCTTAAAAAAATCAACTAGTTAGAATTTTGGTTAATTTGAATTGACATGTTGAGAAATGTTAAGAATACATTTTGACACACTATTTTGTTCATATTTATATCTATATCTATATATTATTAAAGGTAGAATAATCTTTTAAATTTTTTCCAACTCGAAATTACATAGTGTAAGTCCACTATTTTTCTAAATCTTTTTAGACTTTTAAAATTCATACTCTTTATGTTAATTTTTAAAACAAATTTATTAGCATTTAAAAATCTAAATTATTTCAATTAAGCACATAAATAATCTTTCATAAAAATTATATCTATTTATATTTATATGTATATGCAAATAAAAGTCTTGTAATTGTCTCACAATTTTTTTAAATATAATTGCTACACTTTTTCGAGCAAATATGTGTTATTTATATAACTAAATTATTAGTCTTTAATAAATTTAAAGATGTCAATCTATACTTCTATATTTACATCGTATCCTATTTAACAAAAAAAAATCTATATATTATTAAAAGTAAAATAATCTTCTAAAAAAAAATTTACCACTCAAAATAATTTAGTCTGGACCTCCTATTTTTTTAAATTTTTTTCAGACTTTTAAAATTTAAATGTTTCCTATTAGTTTTAAAACAATTTTATTAGCAATTAAAAAATTAAATTATTCCAATAAGCACATAAATAATCTTTCATAAAACTTATCTCTATCTATATTTATACGCTAATAAAAGTTTTGCAATTGTCCCACGATTTTGTTAAATATAATTGTCACACTCTCTTAATGAGGTTGAATATATAATAACTATAAAATCTATACAAAATTTTCTTCATCATCACTGTCTTTCAGATTTAACTTATCACATCTTTATTTACATGTTAATTTTGTTTTTCTTCATCATTCGGACTCTATTGACATACTTTCATGCACATTGCTAATTAATATTTATACATTCTACTTCACTTTTTTGCTTTCTCTACACTTTTATTGTGGTTGAAATTTTAGACAAATCCCATTCAAACAAATTAAACAAATATAATAGGTTTTATGATTTATTTGTCTCTTATATATTTTCTTATCAATATTTCAATGAGTTAATCTAGACAAATAATAAAACAACAATCAACTATTACAATAGCATTGTTTTTAATAACATTATTACATGATAATAATTTAAAATTATAATAAATAATATTTCTTTAATAAAAATAATATTATATATTAACCTTAGCCAATAAGATAAAAAAAATCATTAACTAGTAATTATCTCTGATATTATTTATTTTTGTTATAATTAGGTTAATAAATGTGTAAAAAAAGGTAAGATCAATAAATATATTAAACTTATTATTACATATATTAATTTACAAGTTCTCTAAAATTAACTTTTTTATTATAAATTAAAAATAACAATATCTTTTTTATATAAAAATAACTAATTAACTTAAAACTATGAAAATATACTTAAACTTATTGAATTATTGAATACATAATTAATTTTTATCATAGTTATTAATTATTATCACATAAATTGTGTTTAAATTAAATATTTTGTATATTATATAAATAATCATATTTATTCTTTTTAATTCATTGAAATTTATTAAAAAAAACATAAAAATTAGTGAGTCTCATGTCCTATTAAATAACTATCTCTCTTGAATTTATAATTTATAATAGATAAAAGATACATTAGTGTATTAAGAATAATATATTGTTAACATTTTTCATCACATATTTAAAAAAGACTTGAATTTAAAACTAACAAGTTGTATATTAATGTACAAATTTCAAGATACCTCTTATACAATCGCTTTTATTTGAACTTAGAAGTAGAAATAATAATAATTCAGTATAAAATAGACTATATTAAAAAAAAAAAGAAAAAAAAAAAGAGTGTTATACATGGTTACTGCTTAGGAGAGAAATTGACCAAAATGCCCTGCCACTTTATCTCGTGGGTACGTATAATATGAATATCCAAAAAAAGAAGTAGGGATAATAATTTGGAAAAAAAGGAAAAAAATGGGATGTGGGTTTGCGTCAGTTTTAATAAAAGAAATAAAGTGACAGGGCATTTTGGTAAATAGCCAGTGGAGTCAATCCCTATAAAAGCCCTTTCCATAATTGAATTGAATTCATTCATGAATCATGATTCTTGCCATCTTCCACTAAGCCACTAACCCTCCATCACTCATTCCTCCAATGGAAACCACCGGAGCCGGTAACGACGGAGGACGATTTCCGCAACCGCCACAGGAACCGAATCTAAGACCACAGTGGCAACGCCCAAGTGCCACCGCGCAGGACCTCATTCTGCAACCCGAGTGGCGGCGACAGAGGCCACCCGCTCCTCCCGCGCAGCCTTCCGGTCGCGGCGCCGACGAGGACCTGCTTCTCCAGCCGGAATGGCGCCGCTCGAAGCCTAGCGCCGGTGCCGCCGTGTGGGAGCCTGAATGGAGGCGATCGAGACAGACTCAAACTGCATTTCCGTGGAATCAGAATTTCGGCGTTCGCAAACAGGCCGCGTCGAGTTCCGGTGGCGTTGAAAGGCGCGGAGACCCTAGCGAACGCTCGCGACTTGCTCCGGCTACGGGTATATTCGTTGTTCGGTGAAATGTTTTACTTTCGTACTTGTTCTCTGTGTTTGTGTCTTAAGAGAGGGAAAAAGGATCGTGGAAAGTAGAAAGGTTACTCTAAGTAAGGTTTAAACATGCAGTTTAGGGTCAACTGATAGTCATTCATTACGGGCTTACAGCAATGCAGTGTTGTTTTTGTTTTTTTACTGATAATTGATAAATGTTGTTCTCACTTGGTTTCCTCTTTTCAATAATTTGCAAGCTAAATGATGAAAGCAACTAAATCCTGTTTTCACTTTGAGAACTGCTAACAACATCCTCATTGTTTTTTGGTAACCACTGTAACTAGGACCCTTTGAGTTCTCACTAGGATCCCCACAAACTCCATAACTAAATCTGTTTTCACTACGAGAAATGCTAGAAACACCCTCATTTTTGGTAAACACAGTAACTAGGACCCTATGACTCCTCCTGGGATCTTGAGGTATCTTCATAAATTCCGGTCTTTGGGCCGGCTGGGACTAATCTTTGATTTGGGACTTAGACACACTTAAAGCTCATGCACCTCCTCAAGGATGTGTTTTGTAGTCGTTTAAGCACACTGTTTATTATTAGCTAAAATTTATTAGAAATAATAGTTTTGTGAGTCGTACTTCTTATTTAATCAGTCTCATTAACGAATTTCTAACTTTCAACAATTTTTTACCAATAATAGATAAGATAGTATGTTAGAAAGTGTTTGTAAGAACTAAGAACTCCTCTTGTACTATTTTATTCAAAATTCTGGAAGACCAGAAACAAAGTATGAGTTGGTATCTTATGTAATTATTAGTAAAAATATATCAAATAAATGAAAAAAAAAAAAGGGGAACATATTCTTAATTTTTTAATTATATGTTAAATGCACGAGGATAACAAACTAGGATGGCAATCTTCACTAGACCGTTATCCTGTATTGACATGCATTGTATATGTATATAAATTATTACATGTCTTGTTTAATTATTCTGTCAATTTGTTTTATAGCTATTATTTTCCTTGCAGATTCTGTAGTTTCCAAATTGGAAAGACTGCAAATATCAAAACAGTTAACTGCATCAACCTGTACACTTGATAAAAGGGATAGAATTTCTCCTATTCAGAGACCTGACAATGGTGGCACGATTGCGATTTTAACTAGCAGACTTCGTGTCAATCATTTCCCTGTTAAGTTTGATCCAGAGAGTTTAATAATGCATTATAATGTTGTTGTCAAACCTATAGTATCTTCAAAACTTGGCCAGCCTCAGCAATTATCTAAGTCTGATTTATCCATGATCAGACAGAAACTGTTTTCTGATCATCCTGAGAGATTGCCCTTGGAGATGACTGCGCATGATGGCGCAAAAAATATTTATAGTGCAGTACCATTACCAGAAGAGACCTTTACTGTCGATATCTCTGAAGGAGAGGATGAAAAGACCATTTCATATAGTGTTACCTTAACACTTCTTAATAAACTCAGGCTTCACAAGTTAATGGATTATCTTAGTGGGCATAACCTCTCCATTCCTAGGGACATCTTACAAGGGATGGATGTGGTGGTGAAAGAGAATCCAGCTAGACGTACTATTTCTGTCGGACGACACTTCTATCCTACAAATCCTCCTGTAGTAATGAAGGATCTTCACCATGGGGTAATTGCTGTTGGGGGTTTTCAGCATAGTTTAAAGCCTACATCTCAGGGTCTGTCCTTATGTGTAGACTACTCTGTATTGGCTTTCCGAAAGCAAATGTCAGTCTTGGATTTCTTGCACTTGCGTATTGATAATTTTAATTTGGATGAATTTGAAAAATTCAGGAAATTCGTTGAGGAGGCACTTATTGGATTGAAAGTTAATGTGACTCATCGAAAATGCAATCGAAAATACATTATTTCAAGATTAACACCTATGATTACAAGGTATGTCACTTTTCCCGTTGACAATACCAGTGGCTGGAGTCCCTCAAAGGATGTTAGTCTTCTTTCCTTTTTTAAAGACAAATATGGCAAGGACATTGTATTAAAAGATATTCCCTGTCTAGATTTAGGGAAAG